GAAGAGTAGATCCTCAAATATTTGGTCTTGGATTGTAACTGGGCCTCCTCGTACTTGTTGGGGCCTGAAGGACAGAGAGCGTTTGGGGAGAGTCAGTTTCTGATTCGCTAGACTCATTTCCAGCTGTTCCTTGAATGAAATCTCAATTTTATTCATACTGTTCCGCCTGATTTTGCTGAGCTTCCAGTTTGTGCCTCTTTTGAATTACTTTTACATTCGAGTCACACATATAGCGATCATTTAACAACACTCTGCTGTTTTGAATGCATTACAAGAATCCCTAAACCCTTCTAGTAAATCTGAATGAAAAGAGGGTTAATTAAAAAAAATGTCTGTCTTTGCTGAATTTATACTATCTGACACCAAAGTTTTAACATTTATATTTAGCAGTTACATTTGAATGATTTCTCTTATTTTACATTTTCATATTAAGTTGATATTTTCCCTGTGTAGAAGAGAAAAGCCTGGATTTAGGGAATACAGTAGCAAATAAGAAATGGGCTAAAAACCGTTCTCATCATGCAGCAAACTCAATATTGTTTTCATCCAGATTGTCAGAAGAGTGTTTATGACTTGGAAATACTTTCAGAATGCAGTAAAGTGTTGTTAAACAACCCTGCGGGCATAATTCTTGACAGAAACAGATGCTCATCTCATTAACATAATGGTAATGATATTAAAGGCACAACAATATTTTACCGTTTGTTTTGGCTGATTCTGCATCATTAAAATAAGTGACTGTGAAATGAAGCTTTGTCAGTCTGTTGGCCCGTGCTCTGAAGCAAGCGGCAATCTCTGTGAAATGCAAATGGACGGCACACACCGAAAGTAACACAACTGCAGTTCTTCGAACAGCCACTGGAGGCTGGCTACAGGAAATCAGTAATCTCCATAAGGCCCAATATTGAAAATAACCAACTTTAAAGCAAGATATATACATATTTTACAGCCTGGTACAAATAACAGTTTTAGCTCTCTGATTTCCCTGTTCTTAACACTGTACAGGGTGGATTTTTTTATATACTCAGCTGTTTAAATTACATTAAGACTTAAAAGTTAATTCATATTGAGGCATGGTCGCTTTGAGTTCAGGTGACACAGACCCTACAGACACTAACGTCCATTTTTAATTGTACAGTCTATGGTATTGAGACGTTCGGACTGTACCAGTGTATCAGGGAGCAGATGGTCAGAGGGCTGTGGGGCAATCTTCTCCTCGAACAGGTCCTCTTGTTGAGGAACATGGATGATGGATGTCTCTGTGAACCACTTGTTGTTGCAGATGGAGTCCAAACAGCTTCATGCTCTCGTGCATCCGGTTCTGGGTGGGCGGGCACAATGTGGAGATAGAAGAGATTTATTAGAGGAGCACAACTAGGGCACATAAGGGGAAATGAGTTCACTGAAAACCTAACCTCCCTCCCCAGTTAAATCACCCTGGGAATGGGCTTCTAAAAAATGTCAAACGCTGCAAAAGAGAAAAGTCAAGCTAACTCCCATCCTCCTCATCCTCCAGCCAGGACCAGGTCGTAAGCGCTCATGGCTACACGAAGAGTGATAGCTGTGACTCATCGAAGCGTGGGATCCACTTCTTCCTCTCTGCCGCTGGCCTTACCCAACATCAACATCCTGCACAGAGACACACAGTGTAAACATGCTGTTTTTTTTCATAAGAGAGAGTGGTGGACAGGAGATACACACTTTTTCCACACTGACAAGACGAGCCGAGCAGCTTCAAGTCTCTGGAACTGTATGTGTGTGCTCATCTCCTCTCTCTCCTCTCTTCTCTCTCTCTCTCTCTCCTCTCTCTCTCTCTCTCTTTCCAGTGAAAACATCTCTGCCTCTTCCTCCTTTCAGGGCAGGGTGTTTCGCTGCACAGGCCTTGTCATTTTTCCTGGCATTTGTTGGCATTTTAGTTCAGTACAGTTGCTGTGGTAACAGGCAGCCTTAAGACAGGTTGAGGCATTGTCTGCTCCAGTGAAAAAAGAAAAATAAAACCCTCCTCACTCTCCAGCATCCATGATTGAAACTGTCCAACGGTGTACTTCAGCAAGTCCACTACAGATAAATTAAACAACGCTGCTATAACACAAGCCTTGAGACAGGTTGAGGTATGGCAGCGGCATTTAAATTTTTTTTTTACTAAGATCCTACATGACTTATTCATGAAGATGGAGGGTAGCTAGATGGATGTGAGAGGATGGACGGAGCCAGGGTTAGATTTCCTCCATCTCATATCGAGAGGTAGCTTTTCAGCTGGCGGCCACCATTTGCAGCATCCTGTGACACACTTTTGTCATGACACTCTATCGACCTGCTAAGCAGTTTTTCACTTTGCAGAATTTGGTTCATTAGAGCAGAACTTTAACTCCTGTGGACAGCCCAGCTTTAGGCTGAGTAAGCAGAGCTCATTATAACAGTGACACACTTTAGACTGTTTACCTCAACAGTGTGATCATCTCCAGCACTGCATACGTAAGCTAAATATATCACTGCAGCACAGCACTGAAGCGGTGCTGTAGGTAAACATATGTTGGTTGGATTTGATATATGTCTTCCCAAACAGAAATAAAATAAATCAAGATTTAAATATTACACACAGACAACACAGCAGGCGCAGACACACCTTTTCATTTCCACTGCCTTGATGAGGCAGTCTGACTGAAAGCGCTTTCTTATCTTTGATATTTTACAATTTCCTCTGTTGTTGCTAAAGCTTTAACAGTGACTAATGTATCAATCAGATATGAAGTATAATGTGTTTGTAAGTGGATTGAGGGGTGACTGAAATCCTCAGAATGTATGACTTCAATGAGGAATATACCATTATCAGAACACGTAAACACAATGACATTTACTTTGTAAAAACAAGACTATTACTGAGAAGTGAAAACTAGCATTGAAAACAACAAAGGGGTAATAATGAGTTTGTATTATATAATACATTTTACATTACTAATATGCGTAATCCTGCTGTGATACCCATTCAAGAAGCAACACATATGCATACTGTTTGTGTGGGATAACAAAAATAAATCTGTTTATGTGTTTTCACTTATATTTATGGTTGGCACTACACTGAAGGTTTTCCCCTCTTCTTTTTCTGTGAGTGAGCAAGAATTATAGTGTCCCCACTGTAACAGCATCTGGTGGGACGGGCTGTTTGGGTTAAAGACATCAGTTGCTGAAATAGACGGCAACTTCACAACAACTCCACAAATCAGAAAACAAATGTTTTCCTTACTGTGAACTTTACTGACTTTCCGAAAAGGGGAAACATTGTAAGCTGGAAAACACACATAACACTTTTAGTACAAACACAAATGCATGACTCATAAACGCACACACACAAATGAACTGTCCTCAGCTGGCCCTCAAATGAATGTTGTTATTCAACACCATTCAACACATTTTTTATTATTTTTTGGATTGCTTTCACATAATTGTTCAACATCTAAGCACTATTATGTTCAAATAGCCTAGTAATGTCTTGTTACCACTTGTTTTACTATTAAATACAGCAGTTGATCAGCTCAAGGGGCCCTCCAAATGAGTAAACTAGAAGGTTGGGGCCATTTGCAGGTGAAATGAAAGAAATGTGGTGATGGCACCTTTAACACTGAACAGTGTTTCACAAAATGCTGCTGAGAAAAAAAAAAACGTTGGAAGTGGGATCTTACTTGAAGTGCAGGTCCTTGAAGGTGAAATGTGTTTCCACAATGCCAGTGGTCTTCACTCGGGTCCGCAGCACATCTTGCTGTGTGGGGATGTAATCTGGCTTGGCTATCCTCTCCAGGTCATTAAGGTAGCTGATGGGAACACAGACACAAACAATATATATCAAACTAAGACTGCTGCCCTATAATCTCACAGAGAGAATGGATCTTAAGATGTTATGTTCAGGTAAGGTATAAGGGGTAGGTTGTTTGAGGTCTCATGGGTTCCAGATGTAAGAAGGACTGAACTGTTCTAAAATCTTCAGAAAGATACATTTTCTTTGTCAGCAATCACAAAATTATGTTGTGTAGTCAGTAATGTAAAGCTTAAATCCTGCCAAGGGATACTGAGATGCTGGTGCTACATGCACACACACAAAAGACAGTGACTTTTGTTTAAATCCTCTGATATGGTGTGATAAGAGACATCACCAAGTGCAGACAGCCAGGGCACGGCACCCAATTCAGAATTAAACTCTACTTAAACTCTAATTACTAACTCTATTAAAAACTCCATGTCATTTTCTATTTTCTATCAATGTATCTGGCCAGTTTTTACGCACTGTTCCGAATCTATTTAAGAGAAGCAATGTGTGTGTGTGTGTGTGTGTGTGTGTGTGTAAAGATGCCAAATAAAGCAATCAGATTTTTCAGTCCAGCATGCCTTAAGCCTTATAAAATCCCTAAAAACAAGACCACAATCAACTTTTACAAATATAATGTTACCATTGGAGGCACACAAAAGTATTTTCAATCTTCTCAATCTTTCAGCACAATATTCAACTGCATTAAAAAAAGACTGTGTTGTGTAATAAAGTGTTGGTGCTCAGTGTAATCCCATACAAGCCACAGTCCGAGTGTAGATATTAGAGCCTCCGCACCGCTACTTCATGCCACGTGTTTGACAGTTTAATCATAATCCTGCTCCCCACAGAGGTTTAGGCTGCTTTTGTAGTCCACACATCAGATATTCTAACACTGCTTGATTTGACCATTGAGTTTGTAAGCCTTGAAGATTAATTGAATTTGGTCAGCTTACACTCTAATAAAAAAAGGTACTCAACTGTAGTGTGATGGAGAATCATCAATGCCAAAATAATGGTACTTTTTTATATGGGTTTAAAAGAGATTTGTTGTTTTATGTCAGTTTATACTGTTTACACAACTATTTTTAAATATTTTGTTCTGAAAAGGAAACAATGTTGAAATTGTTGACATATCTTTTTTTATTTTTACATTCTGTTTTTACTACGTTCTACTTTGCGCAATAACATTTTTATTTTATGGGGCCAAGAAATCCCTATAATAATCAAAGCCTCCAGTATATGCATGATGACATTAAGTATGACATTTATATGTATTCCTGCAAAAAAAAGTGATATACCGTGAAACCACCAGAATCTTAAACAAATACTGTGATAGAAATGTTGGTCATACTGCCCAGCACTATTTGTTTATATAGACTTGTACAGTCTAATGCCAGCGTGCAAGGAAAGAGCAATATATTTTTAATACACACACAGACATGTGAAAAGGTTAGTCTTGTTTCCTCAGATAATAGTGGCTGGGTGCATTCTTTTCAGAGTGTACAGTACATGTGCCTTTCTATCAAACCAGCGAGAGAGAAGAGGGAGGTCTCTGTTAATGTGAGCTGTGCCATCTCTTTCTCTCTCTTTATCTTCCCCTTCCTTTCTCTGGCTCTCAGCAGGTGCTCAGACATGGATTATGGTCTAGTGCCAGACTCATTTAGTCCTCTCTTATAGCAACCGACTCTCTCAGCGGCCTACAAAGCCATGATGAAACGTCGTACATTGTCCACTCTCCAAGCTACTAAATGTGAGGCTGTATGCTTCCAGGTCGGCCGGCTTGAACAAGAGCGGTGGAGCAGACATGGAGAAGTTATGGTTATACTGGCCAACACAAACAGAGAACAATATCACTCCCCCTGTAAGTTAAATACCGCCTTGACTGCAAAGCAATCATTTGTGAACATTTAACACTCCCCCTGACAGTTTGCAGCACATTCTGGAGGTGTCATAGTATTACCAAAGGCCCTGCCTATTAAACCGAAATTAGTGCCGATAGTTCCTGCTGCAGCTTGCATGCAGCTGCTGCTGAGCGACACTGAAGGTTCTCTGTTTTCTCTGGACGCCCATTTCATAGCAGAAGTGCATCCCCGAGGGTCAGAGTGACAACCACCTCTCACCTCTTACCAGCAGCCTCTCAGAATTACCTCATGCTCTCCCTGTTATTATACTGGAACATTATAACAATGCGGCCAACAAATGGAGCACTCAGAGATGAGGGGTAATTTAGGTAATTAAGACATGAGGAGAGAGGCTGAGGTTGCCATGTTGTTGCAGATTAGCAACATGGCTAGACTTAAAAGTAAAAGCCACTGGTTAAACAAAACCGTAATGTCTTCACTATTAATAACTGTAGCTGCTCTCTATGGGGGCCTTCTCCACAGCCAGTGCTGTGAGGGAGAGAAATGTAGTGTGGTGCCACATTAACAATATGAGAAGCAATAAAACTGGATCCAGCACAGAGGAAACTTTTTAAACTATTATGGTAGAGAAGAGTATGGTGTTGACGTAACAGATGGCTGCATGGCCAACTTTTCACTTTAGAGAAAGCTGTAGGGATAATTTTCAAACCCAATAATCCACACAATATCCTTCATGTTATTTTATGTTATTAAGGCACTCACTAGGCCGCGGAGTCATTGAGCTGGTACTCTCGAGCCCGTGTGAAGCAGCTCTGGACGCCGCCGTCAGCCCACAGTCGTTGGATGACGTTGGACAGATCTTCTGGCAGGATGCCCTGCTCCTCTGCTGCTGCTGACAGGGCAAACAGTTGGCGGGCATCATCCTGACAAGAAAATACACACACACCATTAGATAGAGTAGGTCTCTTTAAAAAAGAAATTAAATTATTTAACCCTCATCATTTTTCTTCACTGGTTAAAGCTGAAGAGCATGATAATGCAGCTTTACTATATATCATGTTTATAATGTATATAGTATTGTTCTCATCATTGGGCTTCATGGCTAACTGTGATGGAGGCTTTCTTGGAACGTAACCAGTAGTAGAAAGGAAAACTAAACAAAAACAGAGGATATATTCAATGGACTAAACATTAATCTAATATAGTGAGTGCCAGCAAGCTGGCTTGTCAACATACAAACTGTAGCTTGCTGTTGTTGCGAGTATCCAGTTAGTGCTTTTCAAAAACAGCTATCTAAATCTGCTAAACTTAGAAATTGCAGATAAGAGCTGCGACCACTGGAAACTGTTGGTTTCCACGATGGAAAGAAAAACAGCATTTTTCTTCCAATGTTATGTAATTTAAAGTTCCTGTATCCCTCTGCCCTCCACACAAGTCTGATTTAACATGTTTTATGGCCAAATGGAAGAAGATATGCTTTCTCTCGACCAATCAGACCACACAAAAGAGACACAGAGAAGTAAACTAAAGAGTGAGCAACAGTTTGACCAAAAGTCATCATTGGTCTAATTTGCCCTGGTACATCTCGTCCACCACTAAACTTTACACTGTAATGAGTCCACCTATTGAGGTGCAGTGGCCTGAAAAAAACATGTGTCAAATGGCAGACAGTACATCAATATTTGCATGTATTTACTTGCCTTTATTACCCAGAGATCCCCATATCAAGTGAGCAGGGAGGCATTCACTGAAAGTCTACAGCTGAATTTAGCTGTGCCTGTTTAGCATTAATAACTTTGTTTCTTGTCATCAATGTCTTGTTCAGGAGCAGCTCAATATTGCAGATTACTGTTGATGGACACAACTAAACCGTAACCGTTTCTTTAACAACAAGGGCTGTTCTCTTGTTCTATCCATTTTAGTGGGACTGCTGTGCAAACACCTGCACACACACACACAACCTTGAGATTCACTTTTTCAGCATTGAAAACATTTGAGTTGTGACTCAGCCATCTGAACAGGTTCTGGCACAGGCAGCCACCAAGCAAATGGACTATTGATACTGGTGGATTTATGTGTCAACAATCAAAGGTAGAGTTGCAGCTATACTCGCTGGGAGCACGAGAAGGGCATCGTCCACAGCTTACATCACCTTCGTCGCACCACTCTGACCCTTTGTGTTTTTCAAGGGCTTACCTAAACTTTTGATGTTATCTACTGAGAGCAGGCTTTCATGTATTAGTTAACCATTGCCTGGCCTTCCATTTCAGCTGTAGGTCACAGTAAGTTAGTAGCTCTTTACTGTGTACCACGTGGTAGTAATTAAAATCCTGTGATATAGCAGAAGCTGTTATAAATGGATGTCAGAATACCAGGGATTTCTGACACCTACGCTCTCCTTGACTGACCCAAATAACAGGCCTTCAGTCAACCTGAAGGGCATTTAGTCACATTACATTCATATGGCAGTTGGCTATGGCTGGGCACTTCTGAAGCTGGAGTTTCTAACTTTGGTCTCTATTAATATCCCACAGACAAATGAAAGAACTTACATGTTCTAAAGGTAACTTTGTGAGGTACAGCCAAAGAGAGTCTAGAAAAGTGATGATTCAACTAATTCCAGATTGAAGAACATCAACATCTAAATTAGTCTGATACAGTCATCTAGGCGTGGCATTGGCAGAGGTGTGCATTGTACAAACTACTATTTGGTTACCAAACGTTTGCAGAAATTGTTATGTTGTGTGTAAAATGAAAGCAGTTTGTTCCTTATATATAAATAAAGAGATGCAGTCACACGCTGATTCAGAATATTGCTGAACGCCGGCTGCGTTGCTTCCGACTGAGACAAATATTGTGTTTTTAATTGAAATCTGTGAAATGTTCCAGGATGCTTAAAGCTCTCTGTAGGCCATTGCAGTGGGGGAGAAGGTGGAACTCAAATAAACTTGAAATACTGTAATCTGTCCAGCATGTGACATATACCAGGCAGTCAAAAAGCTCTTTCCACATAAAACCATGTTTATCCAACTCTTATGGAATGAAGGTCGCTTGGGAGAGTGACAATTGGAAAGAATGCAAGTATGAATGCAATTCAGCTAAATTGACAGTCTGAAAATCAGGCAGGTCAGATTTCCTTATGTAGTATTTACACACTCTGATGTAAGTTAATAGGAAGAGAAACGTGCACTGTGAGTGGAAATATGCTGTATTAGGTGCTGTCGGACTGTCCAAAAGGCATGGCCACACAGCTGTCTCCTTTTCACTGCATTTTCAAACATAATCCTTTCAAATGTACTTTGATGAAGGAGTTGACAGACTGATTCATCCTCTATAACTAAACATACTTACAGTATAAAATGATCTTTCAAATGATCTGCAAGAATGGAATACATGAATCACATTTGTGAGACAATGAGTGCATAGAAAAGGGAATCATAATTTTCTCCTCTCATGAGTAATGCCTAAATTTTATTTCTGTGATCTTATCATCTCCCTGGGTGGTGCCTCGTTGAAAGGCAATTCCTTACTGTTTCCGTTAACACACACACACACACACACACAAGCAGAAAAAACATGACACTGCAGGAGTCCATCTTAAGCATCTGCTACCCAGAGTTGATTTCCAAGTAGAAACTGTCACACTGCACTCGAGAGAAATTCTTAAGCTGCATAATTTCTGCAGGCTGAAATCCTCAAGGCTAGATATGGGCGGTTAGGATGGAGGCAGAGTTGTGATAAGTAGAGATGATATCACTGGCCTGAGTGAAGCAATATTACACTATACTTTTAACAGCTTTCTATTAAACAGTATGACAACAATATGGCACTTGAAGCCATGTCATTTAAGTATCTGTAATATTTGTTTATTAGACTAATATACTGTTAATGACTATCTGTAGGACAAAGTCATGTAAAACAAAAACAGGCACATTTACACTTGGCTGGAGAGGTTCTCCTGCTGGGCTTTCAGATACCTACCGCTCTAGTAGGTTCCTCATAGTCGATCTTAAGGTTGGCCATGGCTTTGATGATGGCCATAATGGACTGGATTGTGTTGCTGTAGACAACTGCTCTGTACTGCTTACACTCATCTTCTGAGTATCCATCCTCGTGAATAATCCTGGAGACAGAAACCAGAGGTAGGGAGGGGAGGAGCAAGAGAGAAAAGGACTAGTTTGTTAAAAAGAATATCACTATTTGAATTTGAATTTCAATAAAACATACTACTGACATTATTACATATGACTACACATTATAATGGTGTAAAACTACTACTTTACTACTCAGGACTGAAAAAAGTACTTTCAACACTTCTGCATATTCTTCAAGTTAAAAAGAAACTTTTTATTCACTATTAATCTACTCCTAGATGCTACAACTGAGCATCAATCAAAGACAATGTAGTAAAACGCATTCATTTATTAATTTCTCGCTCTTTTTTTGTTACATTAACATTATTATTGAAAGCACAACAACCAATTCCATCATAATTAGTTATTTGGTAGATCGACAGATTGATACAAATGCAGGAATAAGCAGGAATGACTTTTTGTGGTTGAAGAAGGTCTCACTTCATTGTGCCCCACCCCCACTTTTGAAATCAAACCTACACCCTTTTAGAGATGATACAGCTGATATGTGTTTTGCTTATTTATTGTTTGCCCATCAGCTGTTAAAAGAAAGTAAAAGAAAGGCTATCCTGCTAAATATTTCTCTCACTGAGAAAACGTTGTCCATTTGTTGTTATATCTAATATTTCATTAGATCTATCAAAGACAATCGAATCTTGCGCATATGTGATCACAAATCACTGCTGGGTTGCTGCACTGGGAAAATTCTGCCGTTTTTGTATCTCTCAGCTAGAGGACACTAAAACAAATATTTACTTGCTTTTGGAGCTGTGGAACGAGACGGAGAGAAAGAGGCATGTGGTTGAAAAAGCACGGGGCTGAGAAAGAAGCTGCTGGGCTGGAAACCAAACAAAACCATCTCCCCTGGCCCGTCACAGCCCAGAGACGAGAGCCACACAGCCAGGATGCTCATTGGTTGTGTGATGTGCTGAATGGGACCTCATTAAAATGCAAGTGAGCCCACTGTGAAACACTGTGAGCGCACAGCCAAGAGGACTGAAAGCCTACAGTGATTCCCCTCCTCAAACAAACAATACTTTTACTAAATCCATACTGTTATTTTTGACTAGAAGCACTTTGCAGAGTTTGTTTTAAAAAACACTATTTAGATTATATTACCAAATATTAGTTTTCCATAAAACCAAGACCTTGTGTTGATTAAGATGGTTGTGTCCTGTGTGGTTACTGGTTACATACTGTAAGCATTACAGAACACATTTAGAAACAAATAACTTAATTCTTGGCCTAACTCTCCATGAGATTTGACTGAAATCAGTTGAGCACTTTGAAGATATCCTTTGAACTGAACCAGACAAACTGAACTGACAGTGCTTATTATGTTGTATGAACTTATGAGCCACCTCCTTCTCATTTAAATATTTAATTACTGCTGTGTTAAAATTAACTTGCACGTCTAGTGTCAACCAGGGCGGACATTTTCAATAGAACTCTAAAACTGGATTACATTGAAATCCCATCATTAATGCTGTCATATCCTGTGGCTGTCACATTTCTGCAAGCAGAATTATGCCTTTTTGTCTAGTGTGAACCGGAGGTGTTTTTTTTCTGATTTTTTCTTAAAAAGGACTTCAAAACTACATAAAATGAAACCCCATCATTACTATAGCAGTTTCCTGTGACATTTTTTGCTGCATAATTATCCGTTTTGTCAGAATTAAGAATAGGAAAAATCCACACATAGTATCTCTGAAATCTATTGTGTGTCCATCTTCCAAAAAAAGACAAGAGAAATTTAGAGTGTAGTCTGGGACTGAGAGGTTACATTTGAGTCAGTTAGGTTTGCTCTCTATTTTTAGGTAGCTGAAAGGATTCACTCCTACTCCTCTGTGAGCAAAGAGAAGACAGTAGTGTTGTTCTCTTTTCACTTTAGTGTCAGTTAAAGGCCTTGATAGACCTTTACAACACAGATAGGGGAATTTGAAACATATTTAAAACAAAAATGTATACAGAGAAATTCGGAGAAACTCCTTTTTATGTTTTGTGTGATGCGTGCTTTTGTTAATGACATCAAAAGCAAAAGCATCAAGCCTGTAGGTGTTCATTGATGCACACAACTGAGGGGATTTTAAAGAACCATGTATCACAGAAATGTATCAAATTGCTTCCAGTCAGTGCAGCAACACAAAACAGGAACACTAGGAACTTTCATTCATTCACATCAGTTTCACTTATGCTTCAACAAACAGTAATCAGAGCCTCGGCTGTACAGAAGAGGGCAAAAAATTGTTTTTCTTATGTTTGTACTCCTTCCTGCTCATATCTTTTGGGCCTGCTGCTGATCATGTCAGCGTTTTCTTAAATTGAAAAACTGGAAATTTGTTAGAATTATTGCTGAATGGGACCTCATTAAACTGCAAGTGAGCCCACTGTGAAACACTGAGGCACAGCCAAGAGGACTGAAAGCCTACAGTGATTCCCCTCCTCAAACAAACAATACTTTTACTAAATCCATACTGTTATTTTTGACTAGAAACACGTTGCAAACTTTGTTTCAGAAAACACTATTCGAATTGTTATTTTATTGTAATCTAACATTATAACACATCATGTGGACATGGTATAGTTAGTGATGGGTATCGAGAACGAGTAAAAATATAATTATTTATTTTATAACATCCTCCTGAAGCAAGTCTGCTCATCTTAACGTTGTGAGGTTATTAGAGTTTTTCCTGTAAGATTTTTTTGTTAAAAACATCCTTAGAGAATCAGTTAAACCGTACAGCTGGAAGAAGGAGCATTCAGCAAACCAAGAGATGTGGTTTACATGACATGTCTCACTGCTTCTTGAACAGCCTCCCAGAGCTAATTTTTAGTAGCTCACTTTATCTTCACGTTGTGAAGCTATTACAGTTCTCCCTACAAGATTTTTGTTTTAAAAACATCCTTAGAGAATCAGTTAAACCCTACAGCTGGAAGCAGAAACAATCAGCAAAGCGTTTACATAGTGACATATATGACTCACTGCCTCTTCAAAGTCTCAGACGTTGTGTACTTGAATAACTATTTCTGCTCAGCATTGTAAATGTGAAATAAAATAAACCATAATTTAGCAAATGCATTGCCAATTTCTTTCCTTCAATTTATTTAGAACCAAATTCCGCTGTATACTTGAGAATGATATTTGCCCAACAGGTATCGGGTAACATTAATCATTATATCAGCTAGCTAGGAGATTGCTTTTATCACAGGACATCCCTATATACAATATCAGCTGCAGTGCAAATAAAGATACATATTGCCAGTCCGTGTGTGTGTGTGTGTGTGTGTGTGTGTGTGTGTGAAAAAGGATGTTTCCTAATAGAAACTACTCTAGAAGACTTAATTTGGCATCTGGTTTACTTGAATTTGCACATTGGACTATTGTATTCTGCTTCCTTTAGATTTCCTGACTAAGTCTGGGTTTTCAGTGAAAGAACAACAATGTGTCCATCCGTGACAATTTTGTTTAGGTATAAGTTTAGATGTCTCTTCTCTTGTCCTGTCACAGTAAAGACAGCGTTATATACCAGAAAAAAAGAGTTGTATGTCTTCAATAGGCCAAAACCTGCCAAACAATATATCGGTTGGGCTCTAAGTAGTAGTTTGGCATTAGGGTGTCATTATCAACATCAAGATGACTTTAGTAAAAGCAGGCCAGTCAAACCTTAAACAAACGATCTGGATCATATGATGAAAATATGGCATTTATTTTTGTTACATGTATTATTTTAAGAAAGGTTACAGTCTCCTTATTGGTCCACATAAACCTGATGTTGCTGTCTGCTGCAAATTTGAGTCTATTCAGTGAAGCAGAAGCCTCCATGAACATTTAAGTCACATGCTTTAAACATGCTTTTAAGTCGCGTATTCCGCTTTCATTGATATGCCAAGTGTATAAATAATGTTTCCATTAAGGTCTTTTTTATGTGCAAATTGAAAATGCGGATAAAAACAGGTGGATAGAAATGCACTTTATGAAACATGATGATTCATGGGAGCATGGAAGCCAATGTGAACATGGTATTAAATTGTGCACACAGTTGCTTTGATACCCACAAATGAATGTGCTGCCATAAATCTTCATTTTTATGCAGTAGAGGTACTGATCCTCAAATAAATGTTGGGAACCATCTGTATTTAAATATTCCTAATGCATGTGCTGCATGTAAAACATATATTAATTTGTCAGAGATTATGGGAGGAAAAGCAAAACAATGAGCAGTCACTCACTTCATCTGCTTCACAATGGTGCTCTTCCCCGACTCTCCAGCACCTGCAGAGAGAACAAAAACAGGCAGAGGTTAAAAATACTCTCCCGTTAGCTGAGAAATGTAAACAGGGAGCCAGCAAGGCAGTCTCACATCTGGACCCTTGTCTTGCTCCCCTCCCTTTACCTCCCAGCCTTGGCTTCAGCTCTGCAACAGATCTCAGCCCTCATTTTCATCCTGGACCATTCTCCAGTTCTCTCTTACTGAATATCTACAGGGATTCTGCCCCTGTATTTATAACTCAGTTGGTTTTATCTGTAGTCTGAATTCAAATGGTAAGGGGGTGTCTTAATCTCACAGTGAAAACATCCCGGCCACTCTCAGCCTCCAAAAAGGAACAAAAAACACCTGCCATCCTATTCTTCTCTTTTTATTTCAAGTCACTTTATCACGGTTAACATTTTAATGGAAACGTCTTACACTGACAGGATATGGGCTTGTCTTATCCCCTGCTATGTTTATGCGAACAGCCTGAGGCGACCAGAGAGAGCTCATCTGCCACAAGGAATCTAACACTACACACACACACACACACACCCAGGGGTGCCTGTCAGTGCACTCTCCACTCGTACTCGCCTGGGGTTAAGTCTTTCTGGGATGACCCTCAAAATACACTACTACGCAGCATGCAGCACGCAAATGCACAGTGAAGCCTCTGGGTAGGAATGGGCCAAGATAGTTTCCGCAGACAGCTGTCAGCTCCTACGCCTCTACCATGGTGTATGGGCTCAGACTGGCTAATAGAGCCGGATGTGCCAGTTTGCCTTGAAATAAAGACAGTTTATACCAATATCATATTCCGACAGTCCAAAGGTGTGTCATCGTGCACCTTGTTGTGCACTAAGTCTGAGTACGTGACCAAAAATGTAACAAATACAAAAAGGTTGTGAATGTCAGGGGTAATTTTTCTGTTGAAACATACAAACACATTGCAACATTCTTCATTTTACATCCACCTCACAGCTCTGAAGTCTCCACTCTGCCCACGAGGCAATTTGCAAATCACACTGTGATGAAGCGCTCATCCATCTGCCGTACAGTCTGTGGGCCATATTGTTAAGCAGGAGGAAAAGCAAAGAAAGAAATGCTCGCTCTGGAACACTGCATACCTTGAGCGTGAATAGGGAACTGTAAACAGATTCCCTGCTGACGAAAATGGGAAATAACTAAGAAGCAGACCGATTCAATGGAAGTGAGCAGTGTGCATTCCATATAAATCCAGTTATTTTTTCAGAATGCAGATGGAGTACTTGGCCAGGAATAAATCATATTACAGACGAGCTTCATTCTATTTAAGCTGGTTAAAACCACAATATTGGTTTAAAACCTTTTCTTAACCCCTTTCTTGAACCTTAACTGTATCTATTGCCTCTGAGGGTTAAGCACTAATAAAGGACACTAATCATTTTGCACTAATCTGGAAGAGAGCAACAGAACCTTTGTGGCTCGGTCGCAGATATGGAATCTGGAGGCAAACTATCCGAACATACTTTCTAGACCTGTGCATCCATGCGAGTCTGACTGACCAGGGCCGAACTAGCAGGCCTCTCTCACCACACACAAACACACACACTTATACACACACTTACACAAGCACACAACAAGCACATGCTCTCCTGAAAGTAGTAAACATGCCCTTTGGAGTTTGTCCAGTGAACCTGAAGCTGCTAACAGTTAGAAATGTGCAGTGAAGTTTGGCTCATACCTTTGGTGCCACTGCTGTTTTGATTAACAAATAGGTAGAAGCTCTCTTTACTGTACGATGGAAATACACTTAACCTCCTGGCAGACTTTCTCAGTTTTCTAGCATGTGCATGTGGAATCTGCCCGGAGTTCAAATGATCTGATTTTAAAATACTGTTTATAATACAGTGGAAATCTGCATAATAATGAATATATCTGCACATGACTGAGTTCTAAAAAACATATATATAACAATATACATACACATATGCAGAGGCAAGTCCTGCACTGCACTGTTTCGCTTTAATATTTCATACTTGCCAGCTGGCGGTAAAGGGCTGCCAACAACTGAACAAGCACTTGTACTTTAAAAGGACGGTTTGCAGAATTCCTACAGGACGGGGCACACATTGTTTCTACTAATAAAGTGAAGTGACTTAAGTGAATGAAACACACACACATACTTATCAGGACTGCTGAGGGATCGTAGAGGATGCTTTTTCATGGTTAGCGATGTGATACGAGTGTCAATCGCTCACAAGCCTGTGTTGCTGGTGGTTCTGTGGGGAAAAGCTGTGGCAGGAACTCAAGGTCTGATCATAGTCGGACTAATACCACTGATTCTGTAACTATTACCCACCACACTTTGTCTGATCTGAGGCTAATGCTGCATTATCACCATATCTTCCTTTAGAGCATGGAGGCTCTACAGCTGCACGAACACACACACACACACAGACCATTTCCATGTGCTCTGTTGATACTGGTACTTTCCAAAGATTGTTTGGAAAAAATTGTATAACTCAGCGCTGAAGAAGCAGAGTTTCTCTCTACAGTAATGGTGACTGAACAGACCATAGTCATCATCAGGTTTTCTCAGCAACATTTAACAGCATTTAAACGAACTAATCTTAAACTTGACATAACCTAAAATATACTTAAACTGACCTGTAGCACATCCTTTCTAAAAATAAACTGAACTGACATGAAGATTAAATGGAAGACATGGGCATTAAACTAAACTATTTGACCAAGATGCAGAGGAAACGGACTGCTTGTGCAGAGCAGGAGATGAAGAAAAGTTGAGTCTGCAGGAAAATAAATACTGCCCAATGCCTAGCAACTGGGCAACATGTACAACAGTTGTGGTTGTCTTTGACTCATAGTAGAAAATGAGGAGAGAAAGAAAAGCACAGGGAGGAAAAATAGACAACTTCCATTTCAGTCTCCACTTTCATTTAAATAAGATTAGTTAGCTTCTGTATGTCTGTCACCATTCCTTCAAACTCAATAGAATACAAAAGGTGTAGAAAACAGACAAAAAGAAGAAAAATGTGACTGTAGGTTGCTCACATATCTGTGTGCGTGTACAGATATGTAGTACTAGGAGAAAGCGGCAGGGAATTTGTAAATCTCCCAGCAAGACTCAGGAAATTGCCTGATTACTGATGGGTTACAATGTGACTGGCAGACAGGCGGAACCAACAAGGGGATGGGTGCCAGGAGAACCTGTGCCGAAGGGGCCTGCAGGATTAACTGGGGTCCAGCTGCTGCAGGACAGCGCCTGGGCCTGACCCCACGATGTCACAGGTGGGGGGTGTCATTAACAGTGACACAATCAGGTCAGATGACAGTCACGGTAAGTGAGTAAGGTCCTTTTTGGATGCATTCCCTACGCACAGCACATCGATATATGCAAACAGAAACAGCTTTAATCAAGTCCCAGGTGGCCACAGACTAAAGCGAACCTCTGCTAATTGCAAAAAAGGAGAGAATACATTGATCCCTTCGGGTCAGGTAAGATATTAAAAACAAAGTGTGGTGTTGCCCTGGGGAACATGGTGGTTTCATTCATTTAATTGTTATAGAGCTGATAAAGGAAATGACTCCTGTTTGTATTTATAGACAACATGGGACCCACTTGGTACTTCATTAGGACTCTGAGTACACCTGTAATTGGGTATCTACCTTTGTTTGGAGATGAGCAGGTAGCTGTTTAAGGCCACCTGGGAATGAAATTCAATTATTATTATTATTATTGTCATACCAGGGGAAATCTGACAGCTTCCACTGTTCAAACAGGTGGGTTTTTTTTTGCTTTGTTTTTTTTTGGGGGGGGGGGCTCAGATATAATTATCCAGCAAAGGAGATGAGTTGAAGCATCTTATCATCCAGCAGTAGACCAAATGTGTGTGGAAATTACAGCCATGGACAGCAGCTAGTGTTTTAATGCCACACTAATATACTATTCACTGAGGAGGACCAGTTTTTTTAATCTGTGCTTTATCAGACATAGAAAGCCTTGGTGATTAATTGATCTTTAGGTGTCATACGCTCCAAACTGGGCAGTAACCATCAGCACAGAGAAGCTTTCTTGAAAAACTGGAGGTCTCAAAACTGAAATCTGACACATGAGCATCTGAAAGCTGGGTTAGTCAACAAGCCTAGAAACAGGACCATCAGTTACATGTACACTATTTCTTTTCCAGTTTAGCTGTGAAACCTACATCCTAATAAGGAATTTCAGTTGTCTTTTGCAGAAATAGGATCTGAGAGAAGAAATGACAAAGCTTTATCGACTCCCACATTTGCAAAGAGATGAAACCCGGCGAGAGGAAGAAGTGTGCCAGCCAGCTCTACTGTGAGAATTCCTGGCATGCTCACACCGTCTCTAGAGTTTCGTTATTCAGTGAAGCATGATGAAACTGACAAGTCCACACATAAAGGAAGGAGAGTATGAAAGGTACTTTCCCCTGTTCTGTGTCAAGACTCGGGATCAACAGCTTAAAACAATCAACTTATTTCTTTATCTTCCTGCAGTGCCTATGTCATCATCATCATCATCCTGCAGCCACGGCCTCATCAAGCTAAAAAATGTTAACTGTCTGAAAGGTTTGCCTCCCTTGGTATTGAGGCTTTCACTCTGTCTGCGAATAAATGTGCATGTGTTTGGAGCAAGTGTGACCCATCCTGGTGGGACTGGGAGCAAAGGCACAAAGGCAGCAGTGTGGGCCCCTGCTAGCTGAGAACACAGGGCCGCTGTTGATGTTTAGGCCTGGACCTTTCCAATCAGCGCTATAAGCTCGCACAAATTACTCACCCTGCTCCGCCTCCTTTCACTCAGCATGACAACTGCCTTCACCAGCCACAGCAAATAGTTTTACGACCACTAGCAGAGGAACGGCTGAAGAAGCTAGATCTAACGGCTGATGGGAGGAAGATATGCTGAACTGTACTGAGTTGAGACGATAAGAAGAGTATCATCGTGATTTGTAAAAGAGTGAAATCCCAGCTAGCTCTTTGTGATACCCTACATGGTTTG